GTTGGTAAATATAATTTTTGGCGATTATCTTTTGACAAATAAATATCCCGTTTCGTATTTCTATTTCTTGAAATCGTCTCTTGTTCTTTTTTTCTATTTTCCAAAATCGATCTTTGACTTGATAAAAATCTTCGTACACAGGCAATAAAACGAATAATTTGATTGTAGGAAGAGGAAATATTATTTATTTTAATACTTGAAGGTTCGTGAGTTAACATATGCACGATAACGGTTTTTTTAATCTCACTCTTTACTTCTTTTTCATTTATTATTTCGTTAGCAGAAGGTCAATATCTTTCTGGTTCTCGCAACCACTCAGGTCCTAACCACCATTTACTCGTGACTAACTAGGAAGGATTACATCCTCGCGACGGTAAATCGGCAGGATTGCTATTGCACGGTACATATTTCCAATTTTTTATTTTACTCAATGACTTAATTTCTTGCACTGTATTATGAACAAAAACACCCCAATTTTCCTTCCTTTTTAACCACTTCAATACCGTTGTGGAATCGGACCAATAGGTGACACTTTCTAACTCTCTAGTAAACGACTTCATTACTGAGTCTGCGATCCTCGCTGTTATAGAGGCAGCTAGGAGCTCTAACCGCTGTGCTAACAACGTTTTTGGTGTCAAAGTCACCAGACACGTAAAACCGATAGGGTCATAGAGACCATGAATTACCGATAAAATTATTCTTTTTGTTATAACTTGAGGTATTTCTATTTTTATTGTTATCGGATTGATCGATATTGAATCTTTTTTCTTGTTCCATAAAATGCCTAAAACAAGAGTAGTCTCATTTTCCGCGACATTTCCGGAGTATTCCCACAATCTTAAATCAAACCCCCCTTTAGCCAAAATCTTAGTACCCCCATCAATAAATGTGTGTAGAATATTAGTAGATTTGACATTTATTATGCAGTTATCGGCATAAAACGATTTTTTAAATTTGTTTTCAGAATTTTTCGACCACAACAATTCATTACTTTTATTAGCTTCTAATAAAGCTTTTTCTAAAAGCAATTCAATTGCCGTTGCTAGAAGGAAAGGACTGCAAGACAAGCCGAAGACAACTCGGCAATGTCTACAAACAGTTACTCTGTCCTTCTCTATCCACAAAAATCGAAGAAAATCTCTGTCTTCACAATAATTCCCCATTTGCAAAGAAACTCTTTTTATGTCCGATATAACTTCAAATTTCTCTTCACGAAATCTATTTATTGAATCAGGTACAAGTTCTATCATATTAGGCCCTGTCTCTAAACACTGATTAAGAGATGGATATCCTTTTTTATGCATTGACGCATCGAAGACTGGCCTAATCTTGGTCGTACTATTTTCTTTAAAAACCGGTCGATGAGGTAAATAATGACATTCTTGATCTAAATTCCCTTCTTCTACCTCTTCGATTATCCCTTCTACTAGCTATGATTTCAGTACCTCTCCGTAATCTGAACAGTACGTTAATAAAAGACGTATAATATGCATAAGTTACATAAACAATATTATAGTCGCACAGGTTTTCTAACAACTGAGATGAACGAAGCCGTAGCCCAAGCGCCGAAGGCGCAAGGGTGAAGGCTGTGTGATTCCCCAAGTAGCACGATATATCAACTAGATGTCACGGTGATATCACTGGGGAATGTCACCGTGACATCAGGAAAATGTCAAAATGTCCGCCTTACGGTGATATCACACGGTGACATCGAGGTGATATCATTTTGACATCCAGGTGATATCACAGTCATATCACGGTGATATCATGGTGATATCACCGTGATATCATGTTGATATTTTACAGGGACTTAAATTTTTTAATAATTTAAAAAATAATAAGAAATAAAAAAAATAATAAAAAAAAATAAATAATAATAATTTTTAAAAAATTTTAAATCCCTGTAAAATATCAACATGATATCACCGTGATATGACTGTGATATCACCTTGATGTCACCATGATATCACCTCGATGTCACCGTGTGATATCACCGTAAGGCGGACATTTTGACATTTTCCTGATGTCACGGTGACATTCCCCAGTGATATCACCGTGACAACTGGTTGATATATCGTGCTACTTGGGTCGCAGTACTCGACAAGTGCTAAAAATTCAGTTGTCTCCGTAAATCGGTCCTTCCCCATGTCACGCAACATATTTTTTATCACGAATGCACGATTTCGCCAGTTTTGTGCCCCGTTGAGCGAGTTTAAACTTCAGGTTTTTAAGTCGGTGCAAAACAAAAATATTAAATGTCATCTTTAAATGTTTCACTATCAGAACTCGTAATTTTTACGATTATTTAATAATTTTGAGAACTTTTGATGAAAATATTAAACTCAACTTGAAGAATATATGAAGATAATCGCCAACGACATCCCGATTAGTATTCCGCGCACGCCGCTCGATAAGCTGGAGTTAAGCTCGCTTGGTGGGGCGTAAAACTGACTAAATCATGCATGTGTAATGAAAAATATTTTTTAGCATTCAGTAACTTCTACAATAACTAAGCGAAACACTCAATTAAAAAAGGCATCAACGTACTTTTAAAAACATCAAAATTAATAATGATTAATATATATAAAAATAAACCGAATGATTTGGCGCGCTCGATATTAATTGAGTTAATAGGGACAGAAAATTTAAAATCAATGTGCGCATTGGGGCGAAGCAGAAATAAAACAGCTGTTCCAGAAAATATACGTTTAGCAATTCTTTGTAAGTAAAATTGAAGTGTTTCCTATATCTTTAGGAAAATATCCCGATATACTTATGGACTGATATGCAAAAGTTATTATATTTTTTTAAATTAATCATTATAAAACACTTTGAAATTGTTAGTTTGTTTTGTCACTCTTTTTTTAACCAATTTCAAATATAATATATTATATTATATTTTATATTATACACATACTTATAATATTTTAAACCTCTTCACAAAATAGTAATTCAATCTAATTCATAATCACTTATTAATGCTAAAAACAAAAATTATAATAAAAAATGGTTAATATTTTTAGCATACGTACAAAGAAAGAAAACAAACGATAAACCATTTACAGAAAAAGATTTAACAAAATTAATTGATAATACATGCGCAACGTTAAGAAACCCTAAAGATGAAAATATTAAAAAACACTCAAAAAAAGTGTCCATAAATCAAAATCAGATGAAAAAAAATAAAATAGCGATTGATAGAAAAGATAAAAATGAAAAAGAGAGTAAAAATGATTGTGAAAAAAGTGATGGAGACATTAGAGGAGGTAAAGAAATTGATGAAAATAGCGAAAAAGAGAGTACAGATGAAGAAAATAGCAGCGGGGAAAAATTGATGATAATGACGAAAGTAGTAAAGAAGAGGATAATTAATAAGTTCATACTTCAGAAACTTCAGACCATAATCCACGATTTCAAAATTTTAATGAGAAAATTTCTTTGATTAAAATGAATATTTTTCCTTACTCTATAATTCTCCAGTTTCTGACCAAGATCTAGAGATTTTATATTTTATACAATATAATTGTAACAATTAAGTTATTTGAAGAAAATTAAAGCAATACAAAATTATAAAATAAAAATCGTTACATAAATTAACAAAATAATTAAAAGTTAACAAAATAAATATATATTAAAATAAAGCAGATAAGAAATTGAATCTAAATAGTCAGCTTCCAGTCACGATCCACAAATTTGAAAATTTTTTTTGATAAAATATATTTACGATTTTATCTTTCCTCTAAAGTTCGCCACATTCCGGCCATGGTCCAGGAATTTGCAACTTTATTGATAAAATATACCTATTTATAAAAACAAGAAGGGGTGGACATTTATATTACATAACTGTGATGTTCATTTCACGAACATTATGCTTCCTCGCAGAAAATCAACGTTCAACAAAACGTAAATAACATTAAAGTAATAAATTAATAATTATTTTTTATTTCCTTTATTTTATTTTTTTTAAGTTGTTATTTTAATTTTAATTACAAAATAAAAATAAAGGAAATAAAAAATAATTATTAATTTGTTACTTTAATTTTATTTATGTTTTGTTGACGTTAAAAATAACGATGAATAATAATTGGGATCACATTATCACAAACACGTGGCACATGTTCTCTAACGAACTTTCTTAAACAATTAACACAGTTAATAACTTTTCGTTACAATATATCCGGCTCGAAGGAACATGCTTAAAGGCCAGTTTAATTGTTAACGTTATTATAAATAGTTGTTAATGATAAGGCACATAAATAATTTAGGCACTAATTCAATTAACAGTATATAAAGTTATTGTTTATTTAATTTCATTAAAGACTTAAAGTTTGTATTAAAGAAAACCACGGTTAAATTGAATTAATTAATTTAATAAATACATTAATTTAGAATATGTCTATAGATATAGACCTTTCCCGATCTCGCACTCTTGCAGACTCATTCATTCAGTGGGTGTCGATTCTCAGAATCCCCCCTTTGCTTCCAAGAAACATAGATGCTAGCGTATTAAGGAAAGCCTATATTAAGGCGCGAATCAAATAATCACTCGCTCAAACATACCGCTCGCCTCGTATTTCACGAAATTGAAGAAAAAATTAAAATTGTGGTTTAACCGCCCGCCATGAAATAATAATAAAGAAACACACATTAATTACAAGATATCACAGCTTCTTTCCTTTACAATAAACAAGCCAAAAAAAACAAAGATAAAACTTAAATTAACATTCTAAACCATTTTTATCAGTACTGGTTTTAATAGGAAGCAGACAAAGCTTAGAGATAGGACGATCGAATTCGGAATTAGCTGTTTTTACTCTCACTACCCTAATACAATTATTTTTACCTTCATAACATTTTAAGACGCGACCAAGTAACCATTGAGAAGGTGGAAGATTATCATGCTTAACAAGAACCATGTCCCCAACACTGAGATTTGGCTTCAATTCTGACCATTTATATCGTTTTTGTAAGCAATGTAAATAATCAATGTTCCATTGCCTCTAAAAAATTTCCGAAATTTTTTGAATAATTCCCCACTGATTTAAACGATTTTCTGGTGTGAACTCTAACGACGGCTCTGGTACAGCAGTAATAGGTGCACCAATGAGTAAATGTCCCGGAGTTAAATACGAAAAGTCGTCAAAGCTATCGGAAAGAGGCGCAATGGGACGTGAATTCAAATTAGCTTCAATGCGGACAAGCAAAGTGTAAAACTCTTCAAATGTTAATTTATGGTTACCAACAATTCTTCTTAAATGGTGTTTTACACTTTTTACTCCTGCCTCCCACAAACCCCCAAAATGAGGAGCAGAAGGAGGAATAAATTTCCATTCCGTTCCTTGGAAATTCAATCGCTTATGCAACTCGACATCATTACGTAATTTACTAATACATCTTTTTAGTTCATTATTGGCTCCTACAAATGTAGTACCATTATCACTATAAAGATTTGACGGTATTCCACGCCTAGATACAAAACGTTGAAATGCGGTTAAAAAGGCCAAAGATGTATGGTCGGAAACCAATTCTAAATGAATAGCACGTGACGAACAACAAATGAATAGTGCTATGTAAGTTTTTATACTTTTGTATCCTCTTCCTGAATTTAATTTTACATCAAAGGGCCGAGCATAATCAACCCCAGTGTGGCAAAAGGGACGACTAGGGCTCACTCTAAACTCTGGAAGATCGCTCATTAGCTGTTGTACAACTACCGCCTTTTCTCGAATGCAAATCACACAATGGTTAATTATATTTTTAATCAAAGAACGAACTCCCATGACACAATAATTCTGTCTCATGGTATGTAACGTCAAATTAATTCCTCCATGCAGACTTGTTAAATGAGCATGGGCAGCTATTAATTCACTGATCTTATGGCGAGGTAATATTATAGGGTGCTTTTCATTATATGCGATAGGGGCATTACGAAGTCTCCCACTTACGCGTAGAATTTCTTCACTATCCAAAAAAGGACATAATGATCGCAGAGAAGACGTTTTCGAAATGCTTTTAGATTTAATAAGATCCCGTAATTCCGAATCAAAAAATTGACCTTGAACTAATTTAATTAACAATAATCGTGTTTGATTAATTTCAATGGTATAATTATGCAAAGGTTTTGAGTCATTACGAAATTTACAATTTTTAATAAAACGTAAGCACAAGGTTGCGATTCTTAACAATTTAGGCCAAGAAGAAAACCTGTTGATAAGATCATTATCATTTATTGTTTCAATAAAATTACAACTCAACTTAGTAGATTTTGATTCCAATTCGGTTGTAATAATTTCCGATTCGGAATTTTCTATCCAAACAGTAGTTGAATCCGAAAGCCATGTAGGACCCTTCCACCACAAGGCATGATCAATGATTTCTCTTGAAAGTAAGCCACGAGAAGCACAATCTGCGGAATTATCCTTGGAATCAACATGAAGCCAATGTGCCTCTGGTACCAATTCGTGGATTAAAGCAACACGATTGGCCACAAAGGTCTTCCAAGTTAAAGGATGTTTACGAAGCCATGCTAGCACTACACTGGAGTCTGTGTGACAGTATTGTGGTACTGACATAAATTTCATTGTGTATGTCACAAATTTCATGATTCGAGCCAACAATACAGCCGCACACAACTCCAATCGAGGAATGCTCACCGGCGTTATTGGGGCAACTTTAGACTTCGAAATTAATAAAGTAATATATACTTCATTTTTAGCATCCAAAACACACAAGTAAACATTCGCCGCATATGCTTTATTAGAAGCGTCCGCAAATCCATGTAACTCATAACGTGAATCGGAAGAGATCGAACCTATCCATCTTGGGATTTTTAAAGCCTCTAAATTTACTAGATCATTATAATATTCGAACCATTGAGATAACAAGTCTTGAGGTAATTTTTCGTCCCAACTAATTTTTCGCAACCACAATTCCTGCATTAAAAGTTTAGCCTTTACTACTACTGGAGTGAGCCAGCCCAGAGGATCATATAACTTTGAAATGCATGACAACACTACTCGTTTTGTAGGAATATCAATTAAGTCCAACTCAACCTCAAAACAAAAAGAATCATCGACTGGGTCCCATTTCAAACCTAGCACTTTCAAATGAGCATCTCCTGGGGAGGAAAATTCTAGAGCTCTCTCATGACTGCCAACGGCACAATTTCTTAGTAAACCAGCATTATTAGAGGCCCATTTGCGCAAATGAAATTCCCCACTCTCCATAAGGTCAGAGACTTGTTCCCTGGTTTGGTTTGCGGTACCCAGGTCATCAGCCCCAATAAACACGTCATCAACATAAATAGTTCCCTCTAGTACCAATTGTGCAAGAGGAAACTTATAACCTTCATCTACTATTAATTGCTTTATGACTCTATTTGCAAGGTAGGGGGCACAAGAAGTTCCATATGTAACAGTTAATATTTGATAAGCGACCAACTCTTCTCGATCATTTTTCCACAGGATCCGTTGATAGTCAAGATCTCTGGGATCAATCAGAATTTGTCGAAACATCTTTGCAACATCTGTAACGTAAACATACTTATGCTCCCTCCAAAGTAGCAAAATTGAGACCAAATCGTTCAACAAAGGTGGACCTATGTGAAGATGAGAGTTTAAAGAGGTGTTATTTGAGGTCAAACTCGAGGCGTTAAAAACTACTCGCAATTTAGTAGTGGTACTCGACTCTCGAACTACACAATGATGAGGCAAATAAACAATCTGCTTTCTATCAGAAGAATCCTCGATTTTGGTTAATCTCATATGACCCAAACTCTCATATTCACCCATAAATGTCTTATACTGCTCCAAATGAGCAGGATCCTTTGATAACCTTTGCAAAACTCGATTTAGAACTATTCGACATTTAGTGAGAGAACTTCCAATGTTTATGGGCGGACCTTCCTGAAACGGTAAACGAACCATGTACCGACCAGTAACCAATCTTTGATGTGTATCAATAAAATGTTGCTCACAGTTTTTTTGCTCCTCTGTTAGAGAGGATGTGGTTGGAAGTTCTTCTAGCTGCCAAAATTTTTCCAGGTTATCATGCAAGGTTTCTATGGAAACACTATTATGTACTGATGGAGAATACATTAAAAAAGAAGAGATACCATGAATTGGACCCGAAAGAACCCAACCAAATATTGTCGATTGCGCTGTTAAATTACCTGCTATACCTTGTTTTAGACCCGGTAGCAAACACGATCCCAATTTATCCGCGCCCAATATGAAATCAATCGGTGAATCCTCAAAAAGATTCGGATCCGCAAGTGAAAACATTTTTATTTCATTATAATTTTTAGGCTTCGCGGGAGGATGGTACGCAGTTAACCTCGGCAATACTAAGGCTCGTACAGTTAAAGCCTTACAACCCGGTTCCTTTGGAAGGAATTTAAATTCAGCTAATTTCTTTATACAACCGATTGAGTTCACACCCACACCAAAAACAAGAGCATTTATTTTTTCAAAACGCGGATTCAAAGTCCTTACGGCTCTTTCCGAAACAAGCAAGATTCAGATCCCTGATCCAAGAGTACTTTAAATTTTCGTAATTTCCCGTTGTCAACCTGTACTTCCACCAGAGCCGTAGCTAAAAGTGTGCTAACTATTTCGTTATCATGTTTATTCAAATTAAAAACTTCATTTTTATCAGTTTTCGAGACATGATTCACGTTAACCGATTGACTCGAATTTTCTTGATCAATCACACTTGATTGTAAGCTCGTTTGAGACGAACACGCCTGACTTGAATCAACTCTATTATCATGATGTAAAAGCGTATTATGTTTTCGACGACATTTGGCACAAGTAAATTTACTCACACAAGAATAAGGCTTATGACGGGGGATTAAACAATTAAAACAACAATGGTTATTTTGTGCTATTTCTTTACGGCGATCAACAGAGAGTGACTTAACTTGAGAACATTTATATAAATTATGGTACTCTTTACACAAAGGACACTTAGAAATGACAGAGGCAGTGTGACCCTTTACTGTACTTGATTTAGAACTTTTTAAATTTTCAGAAGTAATTTTAGTAGCTTGTATAGCTTTCAAAGCTCTTATTCTAGTAGTTAAAAATTCATCTAACTTTTCATAAGTAGGATATTCTGTACTGGATCCTAACTGCATCTCCCATTCCTTAAGTGACGGAGAATCAATTTTACTAGTGACTATAAAAATTAGTAAGTCACTCTACTCAGAAACTGGTCGACCCAAATTTTTAAGAGCAGCTAACGCTTCATTTGTCGTATCATGCAACAATTTTAAATTTTCTACCGAATGATTGTTAACCCGAGCAATTTCCATGAACGATTGAATATGAGCATATATTAAAGCTCTTTGGTTATCGTATCGCTTTATTAAAATGTCCCAAGCATTTAGAAAATTTGCATTCGTAATTGGAATATGTTTTAATAATTGTGCTGCTTCCCCTTTTAAGGTAGTTTTTAAATAATTTAAACGCGTAACATTTTCTAAATTTTCGTTTTGTATTATAAGGGCTTTAAATAAATGTCGAAAATTTTCCCAGTCATTATACTTTCCCGAAAATTCAGGTAAACTTACTTGGGGTAGTTTGACACGCATTGTTTCACCATGAATTAAAGAATCCGTAGTATTTACAACTGCTTGATGAGAAATAGAGGTTAAATCATGCAATTTACCATTAAGAAAATCTAACGCAGACAAATAAGCATCCTCTAATTTAATAAATTGAGTTAGTTTAAAATAATCATTTTTTGCTTTTTCTTCTGCAGTTGCAGTAGTATGCATCCTCAAATCCAATTTCTGAGCCTTTGTCCATCGTTCGTTGAGCAACTTTAAACGTCCCATTACAATCGTTTCATTAATATTTGCCTTACCAAGTTTTTTGAAATTAGTTTCAGTGCGACAAATCGCTTGATAAGTATTTTCAATTTCAATTAATAATGCTTCCATTTTAGTAAAACAATTATGACGATAAACAACAAAATTAATTCGTCAATATACGACTATAAGATTATAAATTATTAGACAATACAATTTAATTGTCAAAAAATAAAAGAAAAATCTGCAAGAGTTTTAGTAATTAAAATAATAACAGTAGTGGTAAGCTTAAATTGAAGATCATTCAATTGACAATCATCATTAGAAATTCTCGTCTAAGGTTTGAATTATATGATATTGGTAAAGAGAATTTTATTTCTCATTTACTTATCCAGTGTTAACAGCCTCGACGACGAATGCGAATGATCCCCTCCTGAGCAGCAATCTCAGTTGAGGAGGAGTGGCTAAAGTGGAACCAGCCAAGAGAGATGAACTACTTAGTCCAAAAGAGATAGATGATGCCCTGCGCATTGACCACTTGACTTCTCTACTGACGATTTCGTTCTCTTTCTAAACCCACGCCACGACGTCACAAATTGGCGGGATTGAGGTTTTTATTGTTAAAATCAATAATAAATTAAGTAAAGAGTACAGAAAAACGTCTTAATCAACACAATATACTTTACTGATACGAACTGATTAATTTTGGCCAGTTTTAATGCTAATAAGAGATCGGGATCACATTATCACAAACACGTGGCACATGTTCTCTAACGAACTTTTTTAAACAATTAACACAGTTAATAACTTTTCGTTACAATATATCCGGCTCGAAGGACCATGTTTAAAGGCCAGATTAATTGTTAACGTTATTATAAATAGTTGTTAATGATAAGGCACATAAATAATTTAGGCACTAATTCAATTAACTGTATATAAAGTTATTGTTTATTTAATAGTTTATGAGACCGTTAAACCACTCACATTAAAAACTTAAAGTTTGTATTAAAGAAAACCACGGTTAAATTGAATTAATTAATTTAATAAATACATTAATTTAGAATATGTCTATAGATATAGACCTTTCCCGATCTCGCACTCTTGCAGACTCATTCATTCAGTGGGTGTCGATTCTCAGAATCCCCCCTTTGCTTCCAAGAAACATAGATGCTAGCGTATTAAGGAAAGCCTATATTAAGGCGCGAATCAAATAATCACTCGCTCAAACAAATATTGAATCGGGTTTTCAAGTTGATGTAATATATACTGATTTCTTGAAAGCCTTTGATAAGGTAGATCACTCTTTACTTATTGGCAAGCTTCGTCAACTTGGCGTAAACTCAAATTTACTTGATTGGCTTCAGAATTATTTATGTGATAGATCGATGGTTGTGCGTGTTGGAGATGCTTATTCAAATTCATTCCAAACTTCTTCTGGTGTGCCTCAGGGATCACACCTCGGTCCACTTTTATATTTAGTACAAATAAATAATATTAAGGAAATATTCAATTATTGCTCGTTTCTACTTTTTGCAGATGATTTAAAATTTTTCTTATCTGTAAAATGTCAAGATGACTGTCTTAAAGTGCAAAAAGACTTGAAAAATCTTTGCAATTGGTGTAGTATTAATAAGACTTTTTTGAATGTTTCTAAATGTGCTGTTATAACTTTTTCTAAGAAGGATAATAATTTTCTATACAATTATAACATTGATGGCATTAACCTTTCAAGAGTGGAAAGTGTGCGGGACCTTGGGGTAACACTGGCTAGTAATCTCTCTTTTAATGAGCACATAGCTAATGTTGTTAAGAAGGCTATTGGGGCTCTCCATTTTATTAAACGGAATTCGCATGAATTTAAAAATCCAAGTAGTTTAAAGTACCTCTACTATGCGTTTGTTATGTCACCCATCATGTTTGCTTCACAAATTTGGTCGCCTTATTACAGCGTTTACGTTTTAAGACTTGAGCGTGTACAAAATCGATTTTTGCGTTTTGCAGCTAGGCAATTAAATTTGCATTTCGATTATTATCTGCATGATTATGATCTACTACGTGCACACCTGAGATTGCCAAAAATTGAGACACGTTTTTTGTTTAACGACCTTTTATTTTTATTTAAAATTATTAATAACATTATTCAATATCCTGCTGTGTTAGAGTGTGTCAATTTTTCGGCTCCCTCAAGATCTTTAAGATATCATTCATCATTTGTCGTTAACTTCCATCGTACAAATTATGGTAAACATTATATTTTTGATAGAATTATGAGAGAAGCCAATTCATATAGTGAATGTATAGATTTTTTTGGAATCTCTTTGATTTCCTTCAAATCAAATTCAAGAAGTTTACTATTCACCGCACAAAACAATGACAATTTATTGTAGGAGAGTGCTTTGGTGCGTTAATTTGCTCATTATATCTTTTATATTTTTATACTTCAAGGGTTCTTTTAAAACCCGTGTACTAAATAAATAAATAAATACTTCAATAACATTCTTAGGGCATTGCTGACGGCGATGGCCCCTAAGCCAACAATTTTGACACACCCGGGGGGGTGGACCCTACTGAAAATTCTCGTACGAGTTCTCGTATAGTTTCATACGTAAGATCATGTATATGATCACGTTTTGATCCTGTACGTGTTTATGTACGAGAAATGAGTCTTGATTTTGGAACAGTGAAAATGTACAAGAAATCGTACATGATCTTGGGCAAAAAGTTTTTTACTTTCTAGAACTGGTGCAAGTTCATGTACGTGATCAAAAGTCTATACAGTTTCATGTACAGGAAAACGTTTGCGATCACGGATCTAATTTAGTTTAGTAACCGAGCACATGTATGAACAAGAACAAGTTCTCGTGTGAGGTCATATGTAGTTTTAAACTACATTTATTTCTTGCACAGTTTCATGTACAAGATCGTGGGTGTAGTTTCGAAAATTAGAATTCCCCCTATGGATAATCCATAATCAATCCAACGACAATTGTTCATGCACGTGAACATGAACGTGTTCACCCTGAGATAAATTTTCCGGGTATTTATTCTTGTATATAAATTTATACAATTTCACATACGTGCTTTCATTCACTGAATTTTCCCGAACCAAATTCATATACAGGAACTTGTATATGGAAGGGTAGAAAAACAAGCAACATATCTCGCATGATCTGCTAATTTCTTGTACACGATCGTGTTCAAGAAAAGTAACTTTATAGGATTATTCTTGGAAAGGAAAATGCATTAAATAATAAATATGTTCCAACACTGGATTTTGCACAACTTCCAGAACAAAAACATGTTTATTATTTATTTTTTAGACAAAAAATTCATACTGCATCTAGCATGCCATTACATAAAATGCCAAAAAGTCCTGTACTATTTTCTTTCCAAATTCTGAAAAGTATGAAATTATAATTATTACATAAGAATTTTTTAATAATACTTAATAGCTTTACATTACAACGTATCATAGTTTAGAACAATCACAATTTATCACGTGTATGTAAATTAATAAATAAATACTTTGTACGCAAAAAATTTTGACTTTTAACAATGCGTATTCCAACGATATTTAATACGATAACAAGTTTGGTACCGCACAAATGAACCAAACTTTCTTGGGAATATATACTGATACACTGACTTTATCGATGTCATTAACGAGAATTGGCACAATTTCTGAATTTATTTCTTCGACTAAATGCAAAATTTTATGATTTCTGGGGAACGCAGTTTTTGTTTTTAAAATTTTTACAATACATATTCCTGATTCTTCTTACTGTCTGCAATAAATTTACAAATTTGAGCATAATTACCATTACGAAGCAAAACGAACGTGTTATCTGATCTTTGATTTACTTTTTCCGAGGACAAATGAAGGCAGCCGTCCTTTACCATTTTCAAATAAGAGAGCGAATTGTCAGAAAGTTGTAATTTTTCTCTCCATGCGCCGTCGATTTTACCAGTTTTTCCAAAATATCTAGCTTCTGTCGTTTTTAAAGTATTTCGAACTCTGACGTTGCTCAATGAATTATAAAAATTTTTTGTTTGTATCGAACAACTGTCGTAAACCGCTTTTTTTATTAACAAATGACTGAAATTCATCGCGATATGTCGAGCAACCAGCTGGTAAACGCCTTTGGCTGAATGGATTATTTTTAATAAGTTGCCGTTTGCAGATTCAAATCCATAAGCAGAATGTGCGAAAAGTGGACCCCAGTTGTAAACGCTTCGAGGTAAATGCAAAAGTTTGTGAACGTTGAACGTCATCGCATTATTTGTGTAATGTTTTTTGGTATCAGCCACAAATTTGTGTAATAACTCATTAGCACGATTAAGCTCAGTGATTGTGATCGCCTCTTTTGAAAGAATATGTAAAGCCTCTACTAGAAGGAGCCAATGTAATACATATTTTGCTTCCAAATACAAGGAAATTATAGGTATGCTCTAATACAAAATCCAGTTTTCCCATTCTCTGGCCTTCCAAGATTCTCTTTCGTCCAAAGAACGGGTAAGACGACCAATTTGGTGAGGAACTTTAATTTTTTTCATTAGCAAATTTCTTTCGGTCAATTGTTCCTTCGTGAGAAAGGAAGACTTGTTTTTAGTACCGAACCAGATGTTTGCAAACAATTTGCCAATATTGCTCACAATGTGCATTGGATCGGGGGTAAAACCTTCAATAATGTTCAGTTTTTAAGATTTATTAATACGGATGGATTTTTAACACCAAAACATGGTTTGTTTGGCTCTGCTTGTTCGATATGCTTAAGCGTGTCTTCTACATTTCGTAGACCAACAGGTGTTTCCAATAATGGATATTTGTGACTGCCACCTTTATCTTTTAGTGGATTTGCTATCCATTGCCCAGGATGCAAACACCAAGGGCAGCCATATCTACCATTGAATTGGATAAAACCTTGAATTGGTGGCCTAGCAAAAGAGTCGACACAACAAACACAACAATATACCTTAATAGAAAGTATCAGTAGCCTCAACCAGTGAATGAATTACTGCTGCAGCATTGTAGTTATCTTCTATTGAACTCCCAATCCTATCTTTATAATCTGAAAAAGAATGTCGTCTTTTCCTTTTGGCACTAATCTCGTACTCCTGTAGCTGAACGAATAGTTTTAGTTATTTTGGAGTAAAAATTATATTTTAATTGAGTGCTAAACTTTTCAGGGTCCCAACCACATCTTAATTTTAAAACTTTCTATGCAGTACTTACACATACAGTCAATTGATATTTGCAATCTTAATATTTACATATTACATATGTTATAGCCGAAAATAGTCAGTGATGGAAAAAACAAGTCAAACTTAGTTTTGGTAGAATCACTTTCGCCAAAATTAAATGTCCACGTTTTATTTCGGCCATTGGACGTTTTAAATTGTCAAAATTAGAAATGGCATTCTAGTATTTGACAAAAGTAATCTTTTCTACACTTAATGATATGATATTAAGGTTTTTCTGTATAAAGTAAGAACTGTCTATATAGCATAAATAAATATTTGACCAGAAGTTGTAGCAGTCTTTGTGTAAAAATAAAATGGAAAAGTCTTGTCAGTTGGAACAAAATTTTCAATTCTTTTTTAATCTTTAAGGCTACACACAATAAGTTTTAAATCATTTTAATCTGAATAGGTGCTCTCGCTGTAAATTTTTTTTACATATATTGAAGCTAAACACTTACCAAAGTTTTTTGTCAAAAAAAAAACAAAAAAGTTATTGACATTTTAAAAAATTCGAATAATCGTTTCTTGTCTGCAATTTTTAAAAATATATTGACACAACTAAATATATTTTTTTTACAGATTTTCAAGACGCATCTTTTGTTCTATTGGCGAATATTCTACAGTTATTCCATATAAAGTTCGAATATTCGAATATTTTACATAAAATTTTTTATTTAACCTATAAAATATCAATACTATCTTGTAGAATATTTAAAAACGCATCGATTGACCTATATGCGAACGATTACTGTAAAATTTAACGGAGTTATTGACGTTAAACATAAAAAGTGACATTACATTAAAACGAATGGATTTATTTATCAGACGATTATCTTTTATTAATTTAAACTATTGAACATTTTTTTTTGAGTAAGTAAATGATTTTAGTTATCTTTAAAAATGTCAAACCTAGTTTTGACAAATGTTAGAATGACAATTTAGCTTCTGTCAATTAAAACGTAAAAGAGCCGAAATAAAAAATCCACGCCTAGTTTTGGCAAAAGTGCTTCTGCCAAAAGGTTTGTTTTTTTAATCTTGTCTGTTTTAGGCTATTGAGCGTAACATATACATCAATATTTACTTTAAATACTTAAAAAATAGAATAATGAAAAAATAAGATATACCTTAAATAATTGTATTGGCTTATAACTTGTTTCCATAATTTCATGTTTATTTGTTGAACGTGACGAAGTAGGTTCCAATTGTTCATAATGATGCTCAAATTTGTATCTGAATTCTGCAGCATATTGCTGTAAATATTAAATAATTAAAACTTAAATTATCAAACTTAATGCCATTGACACCTGAATAAAATTTATACGCTGTATAGATATAAATTTTGTTGTACAAAGAATTACATATATTTAATATTTCATACTTTAACCAGATATTTTCTTTTCTATTGTTTAATGAAAAAAACGATATCACGGAAGAACCACCCATATGTGGATGTCCGCATAAAAAGGGTCCACTTTTACACAATATTGAACTTATCTATAAGTAAATTTCTTGCAAAATTTGGGAAGTTACAAAATAACAAAATTTCAAAGTTCAGAATGCCGAAAACCTCATTTTGATATAAACGAATTCAAACATAGGAATGCAAATATCTCAAGTTCTTCTGAAAAGTTAAACAGATGAGAATTTTTTTTAATCAAAGACGTTTTGCGAATGATAAATCAATAGGTTTTAAATTCTTCTCCCTCCACCAATTTGAAAATATAGGGGATTGGACAAAATGGGACTTTTTCTAAAAATACTTTTAATTAATATGCTGAGAGTTTTATAAAATTGACTTGGGTGCTTTTTTATTAAGCTATTTAAAAAAAAGAATAGAAACTAGACTTATTTGCAATTTTTCAATTGTCTCCGTATGATATCTGGGGAACGAAATAAAATTAATTATTATAATTATAATTATAAAAAAAATATGTTTAAATTATATATATATACAATTATATTATTATAATTATTAATTATTATAATTATTATAATAATAATTCAGAAAAATTACCTGAAGAAAAGTCTCGTAAAATTGATCCAATAAAATTGATTATGTTAAATATCTTTTAAAATATGAATTTAAAATGTAGGAATTGTAAATAAACTGACAATTTTTTAGCAATTGGAAAATGTATTTAAAAAACATAGAATACTTTTCATTAAAATTATTAATTGGGAATATCTCTAAAAGTACAAGAAAACCGACAAAATAAGACCTTTCCATGCGGCCCTTTTCTATGTCCTCAGTTAAAATTTCAATATCTCGAATCTGGCTGATAATTGGAGAAATTATTATGGGAAGTAACGAAAACCCAAAAAACGTTTTATATTTTTTGAAAAATTTGACAGAGATGGAGAGGGGTAAATTTTATGAATTTTGCTCCGTTTTGCTTGACACTATTTTATCAGGGTATCTAACAACTTATACAAAAAAAAATTCCCTGACTTTTCTCTGCGGGTGTAGTCCCTGGTAAAATGAAACCGGAAAGCAAAATGTTATACTAATATTGCCCTACAATCTAAAAACTACCTCATATAGCGTTATATAAAGTTAGTATGTGTTTTTACTATAAAACGCACATGCTCTTTTCATTTCTGCAAAAAAAATAATTATTTAAACAATCTGCAGTAAAAAATGTACTTGCGAGTTTTTTATAAGAAAATTCCCACTGGAAAAGTGAGGAAAGTACCTTGCACTGTAAAAGTTTCGAGCTTCGGTTAAAGTTACAGACGAAGAACTACGCATAGCACACTGTAATACGTGATTCCAGTTGAATATCCTGAGTTTTGCTGTTAATTTCTATTACTTTCTTATTAACTTTATCAATTAGGAATAATAAATATTTCTTATAGTTAATAATGAAAATTTTCTGTTCAAAAAATGTAAATATTTCTATTTGTGCAAATATAAAAGTGTGATAAAAACTAAATTTTTAAATGTCTAACTTACATAACTGAAATTTATTTTCAAATAGAAGAAATTGTTATTTAAGAAGAAGTTAATAATTGAAAAATATTTTTTTAAAATAATTGTTATATATTTTTTATATTTGATAGGAAATTATAGAAAGAAAAAATTTAAATAATATTCAATAATTCAATATAACCAACAATTATGCCAATAATAATATTATACATAATATATTATAAAATATATATAATATAATATATATTAATGAAAGGATCTAACGAGAAAGTTGTTGTAAGAAAACATAAGAGGTAAAAGTCGACCCTTATTTAGTGTTTGCGTACTGTTTCGTTGTTTTTCTTAGGTTAAGTCCACCTCTTTATAGATGGAAGAACTCCGCATAAGCACATGCGAACTTCTCATTTGTACGTACCTATATGATCTTGAATACTTTTGCCGAACGAAAAGTGCGCAAAGTACTTTCCTCATTTTTGTATACATTATCTTGTGACGTTTTGCATACAAGTTCCAAAATTTAACAAGCGCAAAGTCGTTTCCCTAACTTATTCCTCTGTAATTTGTCATTTTTCACTAATTTTACAAACTAAAACATTAATTTTTTATTAAAAATACTATATGAAATTTTTAATTACTACAATGCTTATTAGATGTCAAATTTCATTACGGTTCCATTGATACCAAAAACTCATTTTTGATCAAAATGTCACTTACCGCAGTTTTTAGATTGTAGGGCAGAATACTTACAAGTAATTCTCATTCCGTAAAAAATAGCTTTTAAATAAGCCGAAGAACATTAAAAAGCGTTTATTATTTTATAAATTATTTAAATTTTTCTGAAACAATGAAAATGCTGATTGTTTCAAAATATCCACATATTGGCAAAATGACTTTTATAAGGTTTTATTCTTTTTAAAAATTGTATCATATTTTAAAAAATAAACAGGAATAATTTTTAGTTTTAATAAATTAATTATTTAATAAATACTATCTATATTTATACTGACTATCTCATATGCATAATTTTTTAATCAAATTAAAGCCATTATATTCATACCTCATACTTCCTTCTATTTTCAATATCTGAAGTTCGTCTCCTAAAAAGTGTTGTTCTCGGAACCTGAGCATTTGGTTGCAAGCTATATTTTTTGTAAGTTGTAGGTATTCTTTGCCACATATTGATTATAAATCCTAAAAATTATAAAAATAAGATAAAATACAAAAAATCACATTATACTTTTAAAATGAAAGCATGGCTGTAATGATTTATAAGGGGGAAAGGGTTTCAGCGAAAACAACGTTTTTTGACAATTTTTTTTACATATGGATAGAGAAAAAAATTATCATTTCAATAAAATTTTGTAATTTTTATATGAGAAAATATCGACAAACAATCAGGTAACAAAGCCTCTCCCTTGAATGTAATTGGAAAAAAGCGATTTGTTGGTGTTCAATACGTATCTCAACAGAAAAATGACTGAAATCAATTAACATTAAAATTTAGTCAAAGTATTATCACATCCTCCAAAGTTCTTTAAACGAAATATTAATTTTCATTTCAAATGATAACAAAAAATTATAAAATGAAAAAAATTATATTCATAGAATGTTAGGGGGGGGGAGGATTCGGTGATACTTTGATTAAATTTTAATATTCTTTGCTTTCAGATAATTTTCTACTGAGAAACTCATTCAGCAATGACAAAACGCTTTTTGACAATATGATGTTCTTGGAAAAGCTTTATCATAAGTTTGTTTGTCGATATGTTCTCATACAAAAATTACAGAATATTGTTGAAATGAGACTTAATAATCTACAAAAGTTTGAATGAATTTTCTATATAAAATAAAATTTTAAATCTATCAAAAAATTCGTAAAATTTTTTTTTGTTTTGCTGAAATCCTTATCTTCCTTAAATCAACTTAAATTAAATCAAAAATATGTTTCAATTAAATTTTTTTAAAATATTTTTTATATTTGTGAAAATAAGATGTTGGTATAGATCTGAATTTACAGGGTAAATTTTCCAGTAGTTTTTACTTTTTAGTAGTTTCTTTAGTAACATTTTTTTATAGTTTTTTAAAAAGAGATATTTATTATAACTTAAAAACTTAATTATAATTTTTCTTTTAAAGTAAAAGCAATATGAAACATTATGAAATTGCAATTAATTTGAGGAGAAATTTTTCAAAAACTGATAAATGCATTTGGAAAAAAAATAAACACAGACTTACACTGATAAAAAATGTTATTGAATCAATAGTACGCAACTTATAGTATTGCTATTGAATTAAAAAACTGGATCCTTGAATTGAAATCAGTGCGGTGTAAAATTGATTCGATATCAGTCCATGTAATTGAGATTTACTTTTGATATGTAAATATGCGGCGTATTGAATCAATATTATTTAATAAATTCAATTCAATATTATTTTTTATTCAGTATAGCGTGTTACGGACATTATGAATCGATCTGTTACTCTTGTATTTAATAAAAGAATTTTATTATCAAAGAATTTCTAATTTTAAAAAATAACAACATTTGGACTTAACATAAATAATAAAAAAATTTTATAAGAAAAAATTACCAGAATTTAATTATATACTTAATAGACTATAATTACAAAAAGAAGAAAATAAAATAAAATCTTAAACACAAAAACCGTTCAAAACAGTTATTCTCTTTTTATTTAAAAAGTATTAAATTTCAGTTGAATGCATGGAAAATAAATTAATCATTACAAACATTATAAAATCAGAGTAAAAATGAAAAGAAATTTTTTAAAAGCTGATAAATCCATATTCCTTTTTTAATATAGTAATAACAAAAAAAATTGTAAAAAAATTTTTAATTTACAAAGATAGAGAATCATAAACACTAGTAAAAGCAAATAAGATATAATTGAAAAATAATGATTTTTGAAAAAAGTTGAATGTTTTGAAAAAAATTTGTCAGCTGTTTTGCTCAAAAATCACTATTTGGATAAAATTTTTAAATGCTCATAACAGCCAAAAAATATTTTTCGCAAAACGAAAAAATACTTTTCTCTTTATTTCTTCTAAAAAAAAGAAACAAAATGTTATAAATGATTTAGAATTTTTAACCTTTTCGTCCTGCATACATTTAAATAACCTCAGCCTAATATTAAAAAAACAAAAATATTTAAAAAGTAGTATTAAAAAAATTTGATTTAAATCTAAGAAATTCATTTTTAAAATTAAAAAATAAAATTGAAAGTTAATTCAAAGCTTAAAATTTTAATGTTTTCAAACATTCTGTCACTACTCAAATCATTAAAACACTTATAAATCTAACCCAAAAAATTAAAATAATTTAAATTTTCATTAAATTTAATATCCATGAAACAATAAAATATTTATTAAAATATATCAATTTATTAAAATTGATTTTATTATTATTATGTATTAACAATACAAGAATTTATACATGAAATTAGAAATGAACGCACGTGGTGTATTTATTTATTACAATATACCTACATATATTATACTCAAACGTAAAATTGCCGTTTTTGTATTTTAAATATATTGCTTTAATCTTCTTAATAAAAAAATCACTTTTTTTAATTTTTTACAAAGATAACTTTTTTAAATGATATTTCACTTGTTTTGTAGATATTTGTCAACACTTTTTAATCACTGATTGGTTTTTAAACTCTTTATATATAGAAATTAGATTTATGCGCCTTTGAATCAAACATGTTGACAGCCACAAAACTCTCAATAAAAGTATCATGAGCAAGCCTGCCCGCCAAAAATTCACATACAATTTCACGTTCGTGAAACACATGCGCAATTGCTACCTTGTAAAACTCAGATGCATACGGCCGAAAACACAATAAATTCAGGAAACTTGTTTGCGCAGAAGGAGAGTATCAAGGAGTATCAAAGTCGAAAGAAACATTCGATAAAAATTTAAATATGTTTGCTTATTGTTATTTACTTTTTCATTTTTCATGTCAAAGATTATACTCTGCTTATGTCCACAAACAAATTTTTCGAAATATTGTCTCCACCACGGTCACTGGTATTTGTCACAATCATTGCGCATGCCTTTTACCACCCCTACAAAGCGTGTTCACCGGCAAGTTCACGAATTTCATACCGGCATTTTCATAACCGTCCTGAATTAGTGACCGCATCAGACCGCGTGGCACCTCGATCTGTTAAAAACTTCTGAAAAAATGTGTTTTGTAAATTTTGTAAACGTGCAATATCTGGATGACAATTTTACTGAAATTCTTCCTATCAGTAGAATAGAGAATTGGATCCCGATAACAAGAATGAATTAAAAAAAAAACAATCTGAGCCCACCGCAATTCGATGTTCTTTGGTATGAGGAGACAGATAAGGAATGGGTCATCGTAGATGCTGTTATTTTTCATGTGGGAGGTAAATAAATTTGAAATTATTATTTAGATATTTTTTTTGTATGGAAGTAAGACAAAAAAGTGAAAACTATGCAGTATTGTTTAGAAAAAAAATGTATAAGCTTTTGTTTAGCCGTTGCTTATAACTGAAATTATCCCACCATCTTTAAATATTTTATTTACTTTTCAAATTCTAATGATGAAGTCGAACTTAGTACTTAATCCAATACACTCATTATTATAATCGATCCAATAATTTCTTTTTAAGTTTTTAATTATGATTTATACCTGATTACCTTGGCACTAAATTTTTGCTTCATGTCGAAAGGAACCTTAGCCAAGAATTTGTAGGTTGTGTCTGTCTTTTTTAAATTCTTTATTCAATTTTATTAAATTTATAATTAAAAACCTAAGATCTTTTACGTGATCAGGTAGAAGTACATACGATTCCACAAATTATCTCGAGTATGACAATGTGTATTTTCTTGTACATGTTCTTTTTCCAATTTCTTGTGTTGAACATGTGCATATTCATATGTAAACACTTGTCAATTGTCTTGTACATGTTGTTAGATGTTTTGTGCTAGGATTGTCAAGTATATATGTACATATAATTTTTTTAAAACTAAGTTTTAACTAATATTTACTATTTAGTCCCGATTACTATTAAAACCCGTTAATTTCCTGCTTTTTCCGATTTACCGGTCAACTCGACATTCATTCTGACGAAAAAATTTGAATCTAAAACCCTAAAAATACCTGTATACCGATTTTTAGCGAAATGTATTACAATCTGATTTTTCGGCTTATTTCAACATTCAGATTATAGATTTCTTATTAGGGATTTTTTACTTTGTTTGTGAGACTGCAGTAGTAATATTTTTATATTTTGCCTGATTGAAAGAACATGTATATCAAAAAAATTTTTGAGAAAAAATTGTGAAAAAAATGTTAATTTTACAATAAAGTAAAAATGTATTTAAAATTTTTTAGTAAAAAATTAAAATATTTTTTTTTTTAACTTTTAATTTTCGAATATTAAATTGCATGAGTTTCTCGATGTATTTTCGTAAATACGACTTATATCAAGTGTTAATAAAATGCGAATTTTAATTTTTTAAATGTAAAATGAAACAGATTTCTATTTTTTTAATGTAAAAATATAAATAATCGATTTATTTATTGAATCTTTATTGGCATTGATGAAGCAAAATTTAAAAAATTATTTTTTAATCATTTTTAAAACCTAATGCTTGGTTAGACTTGCTTTTTAATTTTTTATGAGTTCAAATCTTAAGAATGTTTTAAACTGACAATTTTTGTAAATTATTTGTCTCATGAACCTGAAGTTCTAAACGTTCAAATGAATGAATTAAAAATATATTCTATTTCAATTGTTCATATTTTATTATGTAAAGATTTCTTAACGTATGAAATAGTATATTAAGTAGCAAGGCAATAATTAAATTCAAAAAAAATTTCGTTCATTGGCGCATCCAAAACTTTCGGGTCAATTTGCCTCACAAAGTTTCCAAGAATTGGCTACATCAATTAATTTTTTGAAAAGTTATTTGGAGTATTGAATGATTTCAATTTTCATTTAAAATCAGAATTTTAGAATAATAATATAAATATAATATATAAATAATAAAATTACCAATTGAAAGTTAAGGTAATTCCGCATCCAACGAGCCCTATATGAAGTATTTTGGATAAGTAGATTGTTAATAAACAATTGCAATGTTAACTAATTGTTTATTAACAATCTACTTATCCAAAATACTT